AGCAGCCTAGGAGATGGGTCTGCTGGTAAGAGCTCTGTCCCACAAGCTTCATAACTCATGTCAACATACCAAAGCGGTGTTGTGCATCTATAATCATAACACTCCTACTAAGAAATGGACTTGGAGACAGAAGAATTACCTGGAAGCCCTCTGGCCAGCTATCCTGGGGCCCAAAAGTCCTCAGAATGAGGCAAGAGAGAAACAGCCAGAGCTGTCCTGGCCTGCATATGCACACATGCTCTCTCTCTCTCTCCCTCCCTCTCTCTCTCTCTTTCTCTCTCACACACACACACACACACACACACAGAAACTTACTGATTAATTTTTAAAAATAAATAAAGAAAATATATCAAAAAAGCACATTTTTAAAACCAATCTTTAAAATCTTTATTAATTTTTTTTGTTTTTGTATGTACGGTGGTATGCATGTGTGGATAACTCAGGCTGTTAGACCCTTTACCCACAGCCCTTAAAAATATTCTTAGCAGTAAGGAAGCTCTTTATAACCCTGTATAAACTCTCACAGAGGTTCTCAATCTTCCTAAGCTGCCCCTTCAATACCATTCTTCATATTGTAGTGACCATCAGCCTTGAAATTATTTTCATTGTTACTTCATAACTGTAATTTTGCTACTGTTGTGAATTGTAATTAAATACTGTGTTTTATGGTGGTCTTGGGTAGTTCACTCAACTTCCAAATAGGTCAAAACCCACAGATTGATGACAGCTGCTTTAAAGCCAAAAACACCACTAAATTGAACTATCTTTTTTTAACAGAAAAGACCAAATCTGTTCATAGACTGATTTATAATTCCAGAACCCAAAAGGGTGAGGCAGCAAGATACTGAATTTGTGTTACACAGCAAGTGACAGGCTAGCCCGAGCTGTATGAGCACCTGTAAGGATTCTGGCATTATGCTGGCCTGACCCTGTTAACTGGCAGAATGCCCTCAGGCAGTATCCTGGTCAGCCCAGGTGCAAAGGACCCCTATAAAACAAAGACCTCCGCCCATTTCCGCTTTCTTTCCCTGCTCTCTTTCCTACTGTTCTCCTAGGGCAGAAACGACTTTTCCTGTCTCCTTCTTCCCTTTCTCTCTATGAGTCTGAAGCCAGCCTGATCTACATAGTGAGTTCTAAGACAACTAGGGCTATATATCATAGAAAAAGAGAGAGGGAGGGAGGCAGGAAGAGGGGGGAGGGGAGGAGAGAGCCCTCCAGGCTCTGGGTGTGGTTTTATAGTAGGGCACCTGCCTAGCATCCATTAGGCTGTGGATTTTATCCCCAGCACTGTAGAAAGAGAAAGGAAAGATTATCTGGATATGTGTGCACACATCTGTAATCCCTGCATTCAGGAGGTAGAAGCAGAAAGATCACTGTGTTTGAGGCCCACTTTGTCTACATAGGAAGTTCAAGTTCCAGGCCAGACAGAGCTCCAAGTCAAGTCTGTGTCTAAGAAACAATTAAAGCACTGTGAAAGGCCCTTTAATCACTCTTAATCACAGGAAAAGGCATTCAAGAGAAATACTAAACAAAACTCAAAGATACTAGAGGCTAGATCAGAACGGTTGATAGCAGGTCATGTGACTAAGGGAAAATAGACATTCTTGCACACTGCCAGTGGGGGTTTAAACTTGGATAATCTCTGTAAGAGCAACTTGGCACAGCTAGGAGAGAAGTCTGGCTGGGGTGTGGCTCAGCCATGCCTTAGCAGGGTATAGCTACACCAGCCTGGAGTCCCAGCTCTCAGAAGGTGGACAGCCATCCTCAGCTACACGGCAAGTATGAGGCCAACTCAGGATCCAAGAGACCCTGCTCCGGTAAGTAAATGGTCAAAACGCTTGAGTCAGCCACCCTAGCTCTAGAAGTGCATCTTAGGTTCCACTTGCATATTGTGAAATGACAAAAATGTGGTATCAATTGCAGCATTACCTAAAGGCAAAACAATAGAAAACTGATGAGATAATGAGCACACATACACTAAGAGAAAAGCTCAGAGCAGTGTTCAGAGTCTGCCACCACATCCATAAAACTGTGAAATGGGTGCTGTTACATGCCCGTGTGTGCACCCCTAGCCAATGGGCTTCATCTATGTGACCACTAAGATGGGCACCGTGGCTCAGGCCTGTAATCCTAGCACTTAGCTGGCTGAGGCAGTAGGTTTGGTGCAAGCCAGAGGCCAACCTGGCCTATATAGTAAAAAGCTCCAGCACATAGACACGCACCTGGGGAATGGGGGTGGAGAAAAGAGGAGAGGGGGGAGGGGAAGAAGGGGAAGAGGGAGCAAGGGGTAAAAGATGGAAACAAAAAGGGAGATGAATGGAAAGGAACGAAATGGAAGAGAAACAGGAGCAGAGACAGCCAAAGTGCAGAAGTGAAGCCAACCATTGCCTCTATCGCCTGGATTCTGTTTTAGTCAGGCGATGTTAGCCAGGTGGTGGTGGTTCATGCTTTTAATCCCAGCACTCAGGAGACGAGCAGAGGGATCAATGTGAGTTCAAGGGCAGCCTGGTCTACAGATTGAGTTTCAGGGCGGCCCAGACTAAATAGAAAGAGAACCCCATCTTTTATCTTTTTTTTTAATCTTTTTATTTTATTTTTATTTATGTTTTATTTTTTAAGAACCCCCATCTTTAAAAAAATAATAATAATAACAACGACCTAAAGCTAATTAACACAAAGGCCAAAACGTGTAGCTTCCCTAACCTTACACAAACCCTGTAAATCCAGATGCTGGGGGGGGGGGTGAGGTATGGACCCACGGATCAGTGCACATCTTTCAACTACTGTGTGCAGTTCTGCTGCGCCCAGAGTCACTGTCAATGAGGTTATTAAAGTAATGATAGCAACAGTTGTGTAAACTGCAAATGCACTCACCAAAGGAGATAGAGCCCAAAACACCACTGCCAAGATCTTGTAGAAGTCAAGGGGGGAGGGGGTGAACACAACAAAACTCAAAGGACTTTGCACCAGTGAGAGATTCTTATATTTTTGGGAGGTGGAGGCAGAAGGACCAAGAGTTCAAGGCCAATCTTGTCAAGTTAGGAGGTAATGTGGGCTATGTGAGAGTCTCCCAAAAGCCCAACCACACTAAATGAAAACAAACTCTCAAACTCCAAACAGCCAATCCTCCCAAGTGCCTGGAGTACAGGCCTGCCCCAGAGTGGCCACCTTTAAGTGGACATGGAAAGGTAAGGGGTTCAAATGTACGCTGGGACCATGGGACCAGGCTGTAGACTTTGTGTGAGTCCCTTCTCTTGCCTGGTATCACACATCTAGGTTTTTTTTTTTTTTTTGGTCTGAGACAAGCTTGTTTGTGTGCAGAACTTGGTATAGGAATCAGCACACAGGCTGGGGAAAGGCTTCCTTGTTTTTTTGTTTGTTTGTTTTGTTTTTGTAAGATGCTGGTTATGTAAACAGGAAGATCTGAGTTCAGATCCCAGTATAGCTCAGGTGTGTGAGCTGAGCATCAGACAGAGAGGCAGAGGTTTGCTGACTGGTACATTCTAGGTTTAATGAGAGATGCTACCTCAAAGCTAAGGTTATTTTATAAGATCATTCCCAAACAATACAGGAAATTGCCTAACATTGCTCTCTCCAGCCTCCCCATGTGTACACAGCAGCCAGTGTACCCTTTCCGACATGCATGCACCACACAAACACATCACTCCAGAAGTGTCACATGGATTTACTATTTCCTCAGGCTGGCCTTGGAATGTTAAAGGAAAAGAATCCATTAAAAAAAATAGCTGAATATGCTGGGGATATATGTTGGCAAGACCGGCACACAAAGCCTGGGCTTGACTTGCAGCACCACAGCAAAATGGAAGCAGGGTTTGGTGGCACAAGCCTGTTAATCCTAGCATTCAGGAGGTAGAGGCAGAAGCATCGGTTCAAGGCCACCCTCTGCTACATAGGCAATTCCCAGCCATGAGACTGTCCCAAAGATAAACTATTTCTATAGCTATATATAAAGTGCACAAAAGGTGTCGTGTTCTGTTGTAGAAACTGGAACACAGCAAGTGTTATCTAAGTACAATTGTATTTCCTCAGTCTGTTAAAGGAGCAAACACAAAAATATTGAGAAAGCCCATAGACGGAGGTGGGGGGAAGGGAGAGGAAACTCTGTGATAGCTAAGAAGACACAGAAGGGAAACAATGACAAATTAGCTGTTTCTAAGAAATAAAGCACACACTGAAAGACACTGAACTGATGAGCTAAGCAAAGCAAAGCTGGTTTTTTGTTTTTTTTTTTTTTTTTTTCTTCCCCTAGTTCTGCAGACCCAGAGGCTGCCAGACTTTTCCATTTCCCGGTCTGGGTCCATATGGATGTGTAAATTTTCTCTGAAGGACTGCAGACCAACAGGGTCACAGTGAGGGGCAGTGGCAAGTCTCACCAACCAAACCATCCTCTTGAACCTGATAGGATACATTCTCCCTGGACCTCCAAGACCAATGCTTGGCGTGGAGAACAGGACCGTTCACTGATGGTCTGATTCCACCAGCTTCCCTGGTTTGGAGGGCCCTTTCAGACTTGGAGACTCCAAACAAACTGGGCTACAGGCCCACTATTGCCTTAAACACAATATGCCGGTAGGACTGTGGGTCACACATACAGATGGAGGCAACTCATTCTAAAGCTGAAAAGATGTCTGGACCTTAAGAGATGGCCATTAATAACAGAAGTGGGAACATTTCTGCTAAACAGTTTATCTGTAATTGCTATAGTGTAACCACTCATTCACAAGGAACTCCTGGGCTGGCTAGGATGTTGTCATTTGAGCAGTGGTCCTAAACAGAATGCTCATAATCTCAGACAGTGCCGTCGTTGCCAACCTAAAAGGGAAGTGCTAGCTCACTGCACGTGCTAATAACATCAAATAAACCAACATGCTCCCAAAGGTCTCAAGGCAGCTTGCAAACACCACGGGCACTGTGTTCTGTGTAACCATTTATAGACACACAGCAACAAAATTAAGATGAAAAGGAAGGAACTCACTGTACAGAACACAAAAACAATTCCCTTTTTATTTCTTAAAACTCTGGTGAAATAGGTTTCCATACGACATCCCATTTAAAAAAAAAAAAACAAAAACAAAACAAAACTTAATGTAAACCAACCTGTGGGTTAGTCACACGGTACAGACTTCAAGAGTGTTTACAGATGCTTAGAATATTTACAAATGCTGTTCTTTAGGTAGTAAAGGTTTGTTGCAATTTCCAGCACTTTTTTTCCTCGGTAAAAGAAAGGGGGCTGTGTTGGTGTAGTGTTCTTGTATAAAAATTCATAAATGGAGAAAAGGCAATTTTCCTGAGAGAAGATTTGTTCTTGAAATTTTTTTTTTGTTATTGGTTTTTTTTTTCTTTTTTCTTTTTTTTTTTTTTTTCTTTTTCTTTTTTAAACAATTGGGAATACAGAAATGGGCCGTGGGTGTAAGAAGCATATGTCTAAGTTAACATTTTTTTTTAAATTATTTTAAGTACCATTAAGTTAAAATGTTTACATTCATTATAAAAAATGCTGTTAAATCTTATGCAAATGATTTAACACTGATTGCTGCAACGCAAATTGCACTTAAAAAAATTATTGTGTACATGGAAGAAAAATATCTTGTTTGCTACCCTGTTTACAAATTCCAAGTGGCCTCAGATCAGCCACTACAATGAACGCTGAGAAACATCAGTCAGCATCTGTCCGTTATAATTCGGTCTTGCAAACTAATATTCTTGTCGAGACCCCAGGACTGCATTCAGCCTCCGGGATGTACCGAATGGCTTCAATGCTCCTCTCCACGAATGCTTGTGAAATGTGCACATCAATCAGGTATGAAGAAATTCTGGGATAACCAAGGTTGATCACAAGAAGCGCATGATTTGGGGTAATTTGCATAAAACATTTTAAATCTTTCAGTCTTCCTTAGCAGACAAGGCCTCAGTCACTGGTGCAGTTTCTGCCACTGGTGCGGGCAGACCCAGAGGCAGGCTGGCTGGAGGTGGCCCAGGCTGGCGGGAGCAGGCCTTGTACCTGCCATGATGTCCCTTCCTGCAGGAGCTGTCTCTTCTTACTTCAGCAAGCTTCTTGGGAAATATATCTCTTTCAAAACAAAGGCACGGAAATCATGCATCGAAGGAATGTTATGTCTGCATTTTTGCTGCCGTCTGGACCGCTGGACAAACTCAGGCAAGGGGCACGAGGCCCTCAGAGCCCTCCTGGCCTCTTGTCATTTGTCAGCACCATCTCAGGCCAGGGCCAGAGCACACCAAGAATCCTGCCGTACGGAGGATGTGACTTCGGTGGGAGAGGACAGGCTGACACCTATGTAGAGGCCATCTTGACCTGAATACTTGAGGTCACTGTTCTCGGAGTTGGTACCCTCTCCTACTGCAGAGGCGCCGGCCTGGTAGAAGAGGAGAGCAGAGAAGGAGAGACAGTTAAACATCGATCCATTAGCTGGCCCAGTCCTCCGGCCTCAACCTCTGGGAACAAATGATATGACGGGGACAACTAAGGCCAGAGTTGACCCAGAGAACCCAGGAGGAATAAAGCCAGTTTCGTCCTTTCTTGCTCAGTGCCAGCCAGTGCCGTTCGCCTGGCGAGACGCACATGTGACAGAGGACTCCAGTTTGTCAGAGTGATGCGTGAAATACCAGAGAGGTAAAACACTATGTAGGTGTAGGTCAGACACTGTCAGAACCTGACATACACATTACAAAACATCGTAGGATGAACCCAGACAACTGGAACATTTACCTGGAATCCGCTTAGACTACAGCTTAAGGGACAAGTTTGGAAGTATCTCAAAACTCCAGGCATAACCATATACTCTCTAGTCTTCCCAAATTTCAGGCACCCTAAGTTCTTCCATTAGGGCTCTGTTCCATACTGTATACTTGAAACAGGTTATGATTCCTTAAAACTTTTTAAATATTATTTTCTGGAAGCGCCACCCCTAAAATTCCTCAGCCACACTGATGTTCTGGCTATTTCTCAGAAACTCAGGGCGCAGTTTGAACAGGGGTGTGCTAGGGTTCTGTGTGGCCTGGAGACGATGCAGTCCTATGGACGCCTTTTCTCAAGGGGGCTCTGCATTGTTTCCAACCCTCACATACCTGCGTGGAGCTGTAAGGCAGTGCTCTAGGAGAAAACTTTACCGGTCCAGTCATGTGACCTGTCTCCTCCTCACCCAAGCTTTCCAACAGGACAGACCAAACCCAACTATCCACGTCGTCTGAGTTACTCGGGTCTGAGCCAGGGGGACTGAGAGTTCAAGGTCTGGGGTTAGGCGTGAATGCCTGTAAGCCCAGCACCCAAGGGTCCAAGGCAAACCAGGCTAGCACAGTACGTCCTAGGCCAACCCAGACTATGAAATACGACCCTGATGCTCTCTATTAAGATATCTCTTTCATTGCTCTTCCACTGCATCCCTCCCTGCCTTTGGAGCCCACTCTCCACGGTGGGATTCCATGCTCAGTCTTAAAGCATGGGAAGGGGACCTGGCCCTGCCCCAATCTACTGTACCAGGCTATGTTGACTCCTCATGGGAGCCCTTACCCATACCCATGAGGGATAGACTGGGGGGGGGGGAGGACTGGGGGGGAGGACTGGGGGGGAGAACTGTGGCTGGAATGTAAAATGAAATTTTAAAAAATTGAAATGGAAAAATAAAAAACTACAATTAAGATTAAAAAATACAACCCTGAAGGGAGAGGGGAAGACAAAAATACAGTCCATTCGGGGCCAGTCTTGGCAATTTAGCAACATTCAAAGTCAAAAGTAGGCATGAGAAGGGAAAGGATGAGCAAGAGGGAGGAGGGGAGGGAAAAAACGGCACACTTAAAATTTAAATGTAGTAAGCATGAAACCATTTTGTAATGTGCATGTACAAACGGAGTGAAACTTCACGAAGTTGTTGAGATGTCAAAACTTTTGTGTTGTTGGTTTTGCTTTGTTTTGTTGTTTGAGATGGTTTCTATGTGTAGCCCTGACTGTCCCGGAACTCGCTCTGTAGGCTAGGCTGGCCTCGAATTCGAGCCACCCATGCCCAGTTTGAGATATCCAAAATTTAATAGATATTCTTGTGAAATTGTTGAGATAACTGCAATAATGTTGCCAAGCAAGTGGATGCTGCCGATAGCACGGCACTTGTAATTCTGAGGAGTACCTTCAGATCTTAATTCCAGAAACTCCATTACAAGCAAATCGAGGGCGGATCTACATTTAAGTGACACAAGACTGAGAGCCAACTGTCAAAGAATCCCTTGTGTTAGAAAGGCATTCTACAATAGGATCAGAGGATACGGGGAGATTTCCGTTACAGCCAAATTCTCACCAATCTGCTTAGTCCAGAAACAGCAAATCTGCTGGTTTCTGGCTGTGCCTGAAATGCAGTGTGCTTGGACTGCCCATATAGCAGGGTTGGCTGAGCACAAGGCTGGGAGCTCCCAGGAGCCAGTGTGTAAGGCTGGGCAGCAAGGAGCTTAACCGCCTGTCCTAGCTGACAGCTTAAGACCAGTGGAAGGGCAAGAGTCAGAAAAGGAATCAGAGGCCAAAGGCTTCTGGGTTAGGACCGAAATCAGCCTGCTTGGTGGGGACAGGTTGAATTCCAAAGTTCTGGGTGGGTCATGCAGAGGGTGCAGCGTCTCCCTAGGTCTCCTGTGTATACTGATTACCTGGCTTAGATATGGCTCAGGAGGTCATGTCTGTAATCACATCAGCATGCTGCCTTACTATGTGAGCATTACACAGGGAAGCTATGTTCTCTAATATTTCTTTATTGACATGTGTATGTGTGCATGTGCACATGTGTGCAAATAGATGTGTTCTCCACAGCATACATGTATCAGTCAAATTTACAGGAGTCGGGGTTCTCTCCTACTACCCTGGGCCTTTCCTCATTTAGCCCCCCGCTACTGTTACTAGTGAGATAGGGGTCTTCAAGAAAAGGGGTCTGCGTGAGATGGGATGGCTTGAGAATGCAGAAAAGAGAGATATGGCTGGAGAGCAGACTAGAAAGACTGGTATCAAATGCCCTGAGCCTGATTCCTCATCTATAAAATAGATTATCCAGGGCTGGAGATAGATGGCTGAGCAATTGAGAGCACCGGCTGCCCATACAGAGGTCCTGGGGTTCAGTTCCCAGCACCCACATGGTAGCTCCCAACTGTCTGTAGCTCCAGTTCCAGGGGGCTGAACACCCTCATACAGATAACACATGCAGTCAAAATGCTACATGCATAAAAATAAATGAATAAATAGTTCTCTGGGGAGGGAAGGAGGACAGAAAGGGAGAAAAGGAGGGAAATAGTCGGGTATGGTGACATATACCGTTAATCCCAGCACTCAGGAGGGAGGCAGAGGCAGGCTGATCTTAGAGTTTGAGGCCAGCCTGGTCTACAGAATGAGTATCAGGCTAGCCAGGGCTACAGTGCTTTTGTTCCTGGACAATGATTATTGTAGTCACCTGGGCTCAGGGGAGAGAATACACAGGAGAGAGTATCTTAACAACAACTTAACAACAGTACTTTCTATGTGTGTAGCCTTTACTACAGTGGAGACTTTATATACAGATGTTAGCCACTAACAATGACCGACATAGGTGCATTTAGATGTCCATTTCATTTTACTTCATTTTTTTTTTCCAGACAGCGTTTCTCTGTGTGGCCCTGGCTGTCCTGGAACTCTGTAGACCAGGCTTGCCTCAAAAACAGCAGTGGGAGTAAAAGCCAAGGGCCAAGCTATGCACTTGTCTGTCTGTCTGTCTGAGAAAGGGGTCTTACTATGCAGTCCTAACTGGCCTGTAATTCACTATTTAGACCAGAGCTCTGTTGTTCTTTTGTTACAGTTATAAGAATAAAAGCTGGAGAAGGGGTGGGGTTGAGTGGTCCTGGGTGAGGGTCCCAAGTGAGTGGGGTCCCAAAGTAAGGGACCACGTGGGAGAGCATAGCAGGTTCCAAAGGGTGACCGAGGCAGAGGGAATAACACGCCAGGCAGAGAGAGCTTGAATGAGGAGTTTATTTAGGAAGGGGAGTGAGGGGGAAGGGAACAGAAGAGGAGAGGGGGGGAGAGGGAGAGGGAGACAGGGAGGGGGAGTGAAAAAAGGAAAGCAAAAGCGATCATAAGTGGGCAGGGGTCTGGCATTTAAAGGGGTCCTTTGCACCTGCCTGCAGACTAGAACTCTTGGAACCCTGGGCTGACCAGAGCACTGCCTGAGTGCATTCTGCCAAGTGACAGGGGCAGGCCAGCGTAATGCCTGAATCCTTACAAGCTCTACCTGCCTCTGTCTCCCAAAGCTTTGCATTTTAATTTTAGTGACCGTTCTTCAGGAAACACAAGACGCTCAACAGCTGCTCAAAAGGACCCTTGGGTCCTGGCATTATTTTTCAAATAAATCATGTTTTAAAAGAAAATCTTTGGAGGCACAGTTCTTTGGAGTCTGGGGCTGGAGGAATACCATGATTTGGAGGCCAGCTGGGATACCTAATGGGATCCAAGTCAGCCTATGTTGGGGTCCTTCCTCAATGAAACAGAGAAGAGGAAGCCTCAGGCTTTCCCACGCAAACACAAGAGCAAGGAAACAGCCTTTTTAGTACTCTTCTATGTCTGAACAATGACTCCAAGTTTCTGAGTAGTAACTGTCTTCTCTGTGAATATTAAGCTACATAGGTAAGATCAGTCCTGAAAGGCCCTGCCAACCCCGAATGAGGATACGTGCTCCTGAGAAACATCAGCCCTGTGGGAGTTAAAAGCAACAGCTGAACCTTCCAGGAAACAAAGAATCATACCTTTCCTCTGTGTGTGTGTGGGGGGGGGGAGAGGAGAGGAGGGAGAGAGAGAGATTATGGGGTGTGACTATGCCACACCATGTATGTGGGCAGACAACTTCATGGAATCCATTTTTCTCTTTCTCTCTCCTTCCAACTTTATATGCTTTCTAGGAATAGAACTCAGGACACCGGGCTTGTACTGCAAACGTCTTTAGCTACTGGACCGTCTTGCTAGCCCTAAGAACAGAATACTTAAACATGAACTACAATACAAGAAGTCTCGGGGCTCAGATGTGCTGCAGTGGGGGATGCTCAGGTTTTTCTGGCACCAGAGGGGAAGAGGGAGTCTTTATAATGCTTCGAAAGGCTGGTGTCAATTAAATATGCCAGTCCATTTGTCTGTAGTCCTTGAGACTACAGTTTGATTTTGACAAAAGGCAATTAACATTAGTGCCCAGGGTCACTGAGAAGTTTATGCCCTGCTGAACTCTGCAATTTCACCTCTGGAAATTCATCATAAGGAAAGGAAAGGTGTTACAAAGGAAGCCATCCATTACTGGATGTACTTAAAATAGTTGAAATCCTGGGAATGGTCTGGAAAAGCTGGGTCATCCGCTCCATCAACTGTTATGCA